TCTTTAATTTGCAAATTGATAATAATAGCTAAATTTAATAGGCAAATTGGTCTACCGTATTCTCCCTAATAGTAGTGCACCCCCGGAGCCGAGTTGATGTCTATTTTACGGCTTCCAATTTTTCCCAGAAGCTCACCACTCAAATCACCCAGTAAATCTCATCGTCAGCTACATTTTCCGCCCTCACATCGATAGATTCTGATAAGCGGTTTACGAGATTTCGAGGAATTTAGGCAAAACTTTTGGTGCACTAATATTAGAGAAAATACGGTAATCAAAAGTTTATTTATCTTTAAATGCAATACAAATTTAGCGTAATTAATTTTAATATTTTTATCATTCTATTGAGCATTTTTCAGATGGGCTCTCGATTAAAATTGTTCCCGAATGGATCGATCGTCTCCTTGTCACATCATCCAATCGATCGAATTCCCAAGGCTCATTCGTTGAACTCTTTTGAGAACGGTGAGTAATTTAAATCAGAATCTCATCCAGAGCCTCTCTGTTTCTCGGAAAAATTCTTGATCTTTAATATTTGCGTTGTTCAAAGCTAACAATGGAATGGTCAGAAGTGGAAATTTTTGATGCAAATATAGAAAATTTTTTTTTTTTTTTTGGCGATTTTTTAATTTTTTTTTTGACGATTTTTTTAAAGATCGCTAACTTTTATGAAAAACGGCTGAAATTTGCTTTTAAAATAGGAGAAAATGAAAAATAAATGGTGTTGACCGGGATCGAACCAGGGTGGCCAGCGTCGGAGGCGAGACCTCTACCACTTCACCACGCAGAGACCTTTCGCGTTCCCAAAAAAAAGTCTTTTTCTAGAAGCGTGCCTCGTTTTCTGTGTTTGCATTTTGATGCAGAAATCTCAGAATCTCTCACTTCTGATCATTCTGACCAAGTCTTAGAGGCTGAGCCTGGCTTTGACCTAATCTCTTTTCTGTCTTAATAATGCTGATGACCAAGTTCTCCTAAAAACCCAAAGCCATAGCTAGACAAGTCAAAAGCGACCAAAAGTCTGCCAAACACTGGATCAAGGAAAACTGCAATTGTGCCCTTGCTTACCTGAAATTTCGAAAAAGCAAATTTTAGCCTCATGCACCTCCTCGCGAATTCCATCAGCGTGTAGTGGACATAAAAAGTCTCGAGTAAAGATCTCGCCGAGAGGCGTTGGGAGTATCGTTTCTCTGAATCAAGGTCAGTTTGTTCTTCTAGCTAAAAGCTAGAAAGCCTTAATTTATTACAGAGTAACTATAATTCGAATTTTAGGCTCTATTTTGAAGTATTTTGAAGTATTTTGAAGATATTTTGAAAGAATCCGGGTATTTTGAACAAATCTAGATATTTTCAAAGGGCCGTCACGCTTTGAAAGCCTATAACTTTGAACAGAGATAATATTTTTGCTAACTTTTTATATCATTTTATAGAGGACATTTCAGGCTTTCAAATGATACCAAATAGAGCTTGATTGGTTAATCCAGTCCAAGAAAATCAGGGCCAACTCTGAGGAAATGATATAAAAAGATAAAAAGACCAACTATCCAACTCCATGTTGTGTCGCCTGGTTTGCATGGGATCCAAGCTCTAAGGTTCATAACTTTGTCTAGAGGTTGTGTTATTGTTATTTTCTTTATATCATTGTATAGAGGACATTTTAGGCTTCAAATGATACTAAATAGAGCTAGGTTGGATTTTTTTATTTTCATGCAAACCAGGCGACAAAACACGGAGTTGGATAGGCCTCATTTGCTCAGAGTTGGCTCTGATTTTCTTGGACTGGATTAACCAATCAAGCTCTATTTGGTATCATTTGAAAGCCTGAAATGTCCTCTATAAAATGATATAAAAAGTTAGCAAAAATATTATCTCTGTTCAAAGTTATAGGCTTTCAAAGCGTGACGGCTGCCCGGATTCTTTCAAAATAGTCGGAAACTACGGAAGAGCCGAATTTTATAAAGTTCAATTCTTTTATTCCCAGTCAGCGGACTTGTAGTAAAGTTTTGGATGTTCAGCTTTTACTCTTGAATTTGAAAGTGATGCAGTAAGAGAAGCTAGATTTCCCAGTCTCGATACAACTTGTAAATCAGCTCATTTCACTGCTCGCTTTCATTTCAATCATTTCTCTTTTCATTCTCTTTTTTGATTCCTTTTGAATGTAAAATTTTCTATAATACTCTCAAAATCTAATCAAAGATTCCATTGTTCTCATCTCCTCATTTCGATGATTGGCTTTTTGAGAAGATTTCTGAGAGACACGGAAGGAAAAGGAACAGATTAATCTCTTCTATACGGATTCGTGAATCTATTAGAAATCTATTAGAAATGGGATTTGAAAGATTTTCTGCCCCTGAGAAATTACAAAAGTTTAAAAAATCGGCCATAGTTGGCCATAGTTGACCATTTCCAAATTGTAGACATGAAATTAAGATCTGTAGCTTGCTTTAGCTCGTACTGAGCTCTTAATGAGCTCTTCCCGTAGCTCTTCCTGTAGCTCTTACTGTAGCTCTTACTGCAGCTCTTCCTGTAGCTCGCTGTAGCTCTTACTGTAGCTCGCTGTAGCTCTTGCTGTAGCTCTTCCTGTAGCTCTTACTGTAGCTCTTCCTGTAGCCCTTACTGTAGCCCTTCCTATAGCCCTTCCTATAGCTCTTCCTGTAACCTTAAGCCTACTGAAGACTATATCTTACTCTAGCCTATAATACCTTCTTGCAGCCTCCAGTATCTTATTGTAACGCATACTCTAACCTACTATATCTGTTAGAGTTCAAACTTAGATCTTTAGCAAATACTTGACTCAAACTGAAGCTATAACTCAACTATTTACTACAATATCTTTCAGCTAAAAGTAAATTGAATTGAAACTTATCGAAATTTACCAAAAAAAAAAACTCTCCTATTCAGTTGAATGCGGTTTGGGAAACGCGTCACCGTCTCAGCTAGGGATGTTGTGTTCGCATTGTTCCACTCAAGACATCCCATGCTCAAAAGCCGCTCACATTCAACAGGTGATAAACGTGAATTTACTATTTAGGTGTAAATTTTAAAAATAATTAAGTATATTTATATCAAATCGAATTTACAATTAAGCGTATAAAGCGTATAAAAGGGTTTGGGTTGGTTGGAGTTTTAAAATGAAAGAAAAAGAATTGTGGAGGATTTGAATCAGTGGACAAAAAAAGGCTTCACAATTTGTGTCTAGACTGAATACCGTAATCCAACTAATCTTAATTGAATACCTTAAACTAGACTGAATACCCTAATCTAGATTGAATACCGTAATCCAGCTAATCTTAACTGAATACCGTAATCGAGAGTAAATACCGTAATCCAGCTAATCTAGACTGAATACCCTAATCTAGACTGAATGTGTAATCCAGCTAATCTTAACTGAATACCCTAATCTAGATTGAATACCGTAATCCAGCTAATCTAGACTGAATACCCTAATCTAGACTGAATATCCTAATCTAGACTGAATGTGTAATCCAGCTAATCTTAACTGAATTTCACATTTCCCTAGACTAGCCCACTAGCCGCTAGTTCATTGAAAAGAAATTTTCGCTGAAAAATCGAAAATTTCAAATCTATGAAAGAAAATTTGAACTATTTTAATCAAAAAAAAACTTAAGAGGTTGCAGGTGGGGAATAAAAAAGAAATGAAAAAAAAGAAGTTTTTGTGAGTTTTTCTTTCAGTTTTAGTTCTCATTTGGCTTTTTTAGGGAAGGGGTTTCCTCGTTCACAGCTGGATTGACACTCCTCCCTTCTTTTCTTTTCTCTAATAGGTCATTTATCGAGTTCCTTGAACTTGGAAAGGTTATAAAATATCTGTTAAACAAAATCTATGACTAGATATCTATTTTCTATCGTTCATTGAAGATTTAAAGGCTATATCTATAGAATTTATAGAATCTAAGATTCAACAGAAAATGCCCCCATCTATAGGGCATTTTCTGGCGCACTTAACAGCAATGACAGCAATGTCGCCGGCAATGACAACTTTGGCATACGAAACTTGGGTAATTAAACCGGCGGAGCGAGCATTTTCGGCTACCCTTCTCCCTGGCCAGTGTGCCAGACGCCGCTTTTTCTTACGAGCGACATGGAGAGAATGCACAAAGGAAGGCGGTAACAAAGCCGCCTTCCCTTTGTGCGTTCTCTTCATGTCGCTCGTAAGAAAAAGCGGCGTCTGGCACACTGGCCCGGCTCAAGTCGGTGGGAAAACCTTCTCATCTGGTTTAATTACCCAAGTTTTCTGTTTGAGAAGACACAAAATCGCGAAATGGCATAAAATGCTATTTTCTCCACTGATTTGACTCCCCAACACCTTGAATTTTGTTGTGCTAGCAATTTTCAACGCTTTTCCCAACCTTTCTTTCATCTTTTCGTAATTCCCCATACTCTATGCAAACGTAATAACATAAATCCCAGTGGAAGTCCTTTTTTTTCTGACCTAGGTTTTCCGTTCTTTTCCTTAAAAAAAGAGAGAAATCCTCGACTTCCTGGCCAATTAGTGAAAAATTGAGATCTCAACAACAAATCCCCAGCACTCACTTCGACTTAAATTCCCCTAAAAAAAGGGATTTTCTTTTTGAAAATCTTTTGAACATTCGGTATTTTTTGGCGAACTGTCAGAACGGATCTCCGGTTTGACAAATTGACAAATGGGGAAAAATCAACGCATTTGCGCAAATAGAATTCGTTGTTTTGAAATTTGAAATTTGAAATTTGAATTTTTAGTTATTTTAGACGGATAAAAACCACCTATCATCTACCGTAATCTAAAATTATCGAAAGATTTATCTAAAGCTATCTAAAGCTACCGTAACTTAAAGCTCCTTCACCGGAAACCCTTTTACAAGCTACTGTAACCTTCTACAATCTATTATATCTCATTGTAGCTGACGGTAGATGATAGATAGTTTTTAGTTCTGCTCTATCTTCCTTTTTCACAATTACTTTCACCCGTTTCACCTGTTTCAACCATCTTTTTTGTTGTTGTTAGAATGGACCCAAACGAGGGCTCATCCGGTGACATTGAATATATCGAGTATGAGATCATTTCCACCAGTGACACCTCGGGAAAAGAGTTTGCGCGGAGCGAGGTAAAGAAATCGAAGAAATAGAAATAGGAGGGGCACCGTAGCTCTTAAGTAATGATAAAGGAGCTTTGGGTAAATGATCCAAACCTTGTCAGATCAGACCCAGGTCCAGCTCAGGTCCGGATCCAGGTTTAAGTCGAAGATCAGGTCCAAGTTCAAGTCCAGAAACAAGTTCAGTTCTAGGTCTAGCTTAGTCAGGTTTAGGTCCAAGTTCAAGACCAGCTCCAGGCCCAGGTCAGGTCCAGATCTAGGTCTAGCCTAGTCAGGTCCAGACCCAGGCCAGGTTCAATACCAGGTCCAGACCCAGGTCAGGTCCATCTCTCTCTCCATCTCTAACCTAGTCAGGTTCAAATCCAAGTTCAAGACCTGTCTAAATTCTTGGCCAGGTCTAGACTCCGTATTGTTTATGCAAACTTTTCAAATGTCAGAGTGGCGGCACCCGTTCGTGTTCTCTCCTCTCCTTATCGCCATCGAGTTCCCCATCAGCTCCACTATGTCGAATTTGTCATTGTGCCTATCCGATCGACCCGTTGGATCCATTGATCTCTCCATGCAGGTTAGAATTTAAAACCAAACTCGCAAACTGGGTAATTGAACCAAATAAATGTTTTTTTTTTCTTCTGAATCTCTAAAAATCAAGTTTTATTTTAAAAGTACGATAAAAAATGGAAATTTGAAATTTCAGATGTTCCGGCAGTTTGCAGCACGTTCATGTCAGTTGCCTGATGGTAAAATTCGAACAATTTTTCAACGTAGATCTTTTTTTTCTAGCATTGGTTGGATATTTCCTCTCGGAAGCTTCATCGACCGGCGATTTGCGAGCTTTGTTTGTACAAATATCGACGAAGAAGAGTGCTCAAGGTTTGGGGATTTTTTTTTTTAAACTTGAGTCGCTCTATTCTAAGCGCACTTTTAGCTCTATTCTTTAGAAAAGCTAAACTCAACCACTCTTTTCAGTACCGTGAGCTCCAATTGCCCGAATGTGCTCGTGGTGATCTCCGCTATTATTTCCTCTTGATGATTGCTCTCATTCTCATGCTCACTTCTGCTGCGGTCACCATTTTTTGCTTTCAAATGGAGAAGAAATATGTGCTTACGCCGCTTATCCAAGAAAAGTATGAGATGAAAATTCTATTCAGAAATGAAATCAATTTGGCAATTCTTAAGAGATCTTTGTCAAGAATTAAAGTCAAGAATTACCTGTGTGCCAACTGTGCGTTCTTTCCCTGTCGCTCGTAAGAAAAAGCGGCGTCTGGCACACTGCCCCGGATCATGGCCGCCAGAAATGCTCTTCAACCGGTTTAATTACCCAAGTTTTCAGATTGATGATTGCAGTTGCCTCTCCAGCTGTCGCACACACGCCAGGCGGTAGTCCAAGTGTTGAACAGTTGCCCACGGGTGAGGGAAAAGCTCTAGTAACTAGTAGTGCTGCGTTCTAGTACGCAGTACAGTTCACTACGCAGTACAGTTCACTACGCAGTACAGTTCACTACGCAGTACAGTTCAATACGCAGTACAGTTTAATACACAGTACAGTTCAGTACACAGTACAGCTCAGTACATAGTACAGCTCAGTACATAGTACAGCTCAGTACGTAGTACAGTTCAGTTCGTAGTACAGTTCAGTACGTAGTACAGTTCAGTACGTAGTACAGTACTAGTTCAGGATAGTTTTAGTACATATCCTATCAAACTTCTCAGGTGCAAGTTCTCAAATCAATGACGTTGAGAATCTCTTATCAACGATCACTCTCGTCTCGGCGATACTCTTCTTTTTCTCGTTTTTCCTTGCCATGTACGCTCATATCAAGGTGGGTACTTAAAAGAAATGATCAGAAAAAAAAGAATTGGATGTACTTTGTGCTCAAATTGCTAAACGCACTCCTTCAGTGATTCATTTTTTTATGCAAAAAAAATCAAAATCAGAATTTCCTTTCCAGTCGGGTCAATCAATTTGTGGCTACATTCGCGGGTGTTGGTCATCGAATCTTGAATGGTCGATTGAAGAGTACCGGATGAGTCGAGACACACAATATCTCGCGAAACTCGAGGAACTCCGCAGAAAGCTCAATGGTGAGATTTAGTAGGCTTTGCACGAAATTCGAACATTCAAAATCCGACACTCGAAATCTGACACTCGAATGGCCTAGCTTTGATCGTCTATAACGTTTCTCAAAGACTATATTATTCTTAGCTTTTTATATCATTGCATAGAGGATACTTCAGTGTTTCGAATGACTCTAAATACAGTTTCATTGGGGAATTCAGTCTAGGGAAATCAAGGCCAAATTGGCAGAGCGATATTGGATCCAAGTTTTTGCCAGGTTTTCAAGAGAATGGAAAAAAATTTGGAAAAAATCAAGCTTGTTTAGCAATCAAGCTCCTTAGCAACCTTTAGCCAAAGGATTTTAAAGACTAAAAGATCTTAAAAACTTAAAGAAACTGTACTAAAAAATTCTTGTTAACACTAGTTTATATAGGTTTGAATCAAGACTTTCATTCTTTCTTCCTTCCTTCTTTCCTTTCTTCCTTCCTGCCTTCCTTCTTTCCTTTCTTCCTTCCTTCCTTCCTTTCTTCCTTCCTTCCTTCCTTCCTTCTTTCCTTTCTTCCTTCCTTCCTTCCTTCTTTCCTTTCTTCCTTCCTTCCTTCCTTCCTTTCTTCCTTCCTTCCTTCTTCCTCTTTTATTTCCTCTTTCTCTGCCAAGAAGATACCGGCTAGCAATTGCCCGGAAAGCAAAAGGAAAAGCAAAAGATCGAGAGTTGAATCCTGGAAATCTTTCTTTCCCATTCTTTACTTTATTAAATACAGATTGACAAAATGTACAGGACAAGCTAGAGACTTTTTTCTGACTTCGAAACAATTTTTAGATGTAAATTGCAACAGCAGTGCTTAATATTTTCAGGAATTCGTCAAAATTTGAAAATTTCAGAAAAGCAAACGAAAAAGTGCTCAGCCGAGGAGGTGGAACCGTTGCGGAGTGCTGTGATCGCTATTGAATAGCTGAATGTCTTAAAAATCCAAGAAAAACGTCTCAAATTTGCATACAAAACATTGTACATCGTATTTTCTTTGACTTTTTTTCTTCACAATTCATTTTCCCTTCTTTTTCTTTGAAGTTAGACTTCTGATGTGCTGGTGTGAATTTGGTAAACGCACACTTTCTAGCGCACTTGATTCTTCATTTTTCTTGCAGCAACAAAAGTGATTTGAGAGGTACTTTGTGCTTTAAGAGGTGTTCTTTGTGCGCGACCACAATCGCTCTCCATCTGGCACATGTACCCGATAGATTCCTATTCTCTTTTCGAGTTTCTGAATTGAAAAAGAGGGTATCTATCAGGAATGCTTTAAGAGGTGTTCTTTGTGCGCGACCACAATCGCTCTCCATCTGGCACATGTACCCGATAGATTCCTTTCCTTTCGAGTTTCTGAATTGAAAAAGAGGGTATCTATCAGGAATGCTTTAAGAGGTGTTCTTTGTGCGCGACCACAATCGCTCTCCATCTGGCACATGGGCCCGATAGATACCTATCTCTCTTTTCCAGTTCGTGCACTGAAAAAAAGTTCAGAAACTGGAAAAGAGAATGGGTATCTACTAGGCCCATGTGCCAGATGGAGAGCGACTGTGGTCGCGCACAAAGAACACCTCTCAAAGCAAAAAGAACACCACTTTTGTTGTTGTTGTTTTTTCACGAAAATGATGAATCCAGTGCGCTAGAAGTGTTGTGTTTCGATTTTTTAAAGCACAAAGTACATCGCTGAAATTATTTCCACGAAATGCTGACTTATTCTAATCGAATAATCTCAATGAATCAAAAAAAAATGATCTCATTTCTTCTCAAACCCTTTCTTCATTCTTTTTTTATAAAATTTATCTATATTTTTGGAGTTTAAATGAAACAAAAGTGAATTCCAGGGGTTTTTTTTGCGCTTTTAAGAGCTCTTTCTAAAACGCATCACTTTTGGCGCACTCTTTCATGTGCTTTGTGCGCAAATTTCTAAAAAAACCATCCCTTCTAGTGGACGGGATTCTTCGTTTTTCCCATAAAAACGACTCAATATCCGCCAGAAATTTTTGAAAGATTCAGTGCGCCAGAAAGGTTGCGTTTAGAAATTTCGAAAAGCAGCGAAATGACAGCGAAATTTCCTTGAATTTTCTTGAATTTTACTCAAAGTCTTTCGAAAATTTGTTCTTTTTTTTGAAAAGCTTATTGTAAAAACAGAATGAATTCTTTATTTAATAGAAATTTCTTTAACGAATTCCATTGCCTTTTTAGTATTTTTTTGGGAGTGGGACAAATGCGAGCTTTTTTTTGCGCACCCAGACATTTGCGCACCTTTTTTTCCGCACCTTGCCCATTAGCGCATCTTTTTTCGCGTTTTAAAAAAGCTCTAAAAGCTAATATTCTAATATTAGCCAATTTCTATTCCAAAAGTTCTTTTTCTAGGTAATTTGAGGGTGTCGAATTCAAATTTTGACATATCAGAGCTTGTGGAACCAATTTGAAAGACCAATTTGAAAGACAAAACGGCTAGATCAAATTACAGAAAATTCTCGATCTTTCTCTTTGTATAACTCCGTCCGTTCGCTTCCACAAGCTTTGATATGCCAAAATTTCGATTCTACACCCTAAAATTACCTAGAAAAACAACTTTTGGAATAGAAATTGGTTAATATTAGAATATTAGCTTTTTAGAGCTTTTTTAAAACGCGAAAAAAGATGTGCTAATGGGCTAAGTGCGGAAAAAAAGGTGCGCAAATGTTTGGGTGCGCAAAAAAAAGCGAAAGAAGCGCATTTGTCCCACTCCCATTTTTTTCAAGAAAAACATAATTTTAAAGTTTTTTTTAACCAAAACTTTTCATTCATTCTTTATGGACCAATTTTTGGCACTTTATATTCGTTTTTTTAACGTTTTTATATGATAAACTGGTAATATTTATGTTTTTTTTATTGATTTGAATAAAGAGATTTCACAAAATCTTTGGAAAACTTGAGAAATTTGAGAAAAAAGGGGTAGTAAATGATGAAAAACGTTTTTTTTACGGAGGTTGCGGAGAATAAAGCGATTCTTTATGGGAAATAATAAAAAGTATCACTTATTTTACACTTATCAATGATTAAAGCTTTTATAAACATCATTTACATTTACAGCTGAATATCTTTTCATCTAAAAAAAGGGAAAATCACTGTGTAGAGTGGTGTTCTTTGTGCTTTGAGAGGTGTTCTTTATGCGCGACCAAAATCGCTCTCCATCTGGCACATGGCATCATGACACATCACCACGTCTTTTCAACTAAAAAAAGGGAAAATCCCTGTGTAAAGTGGTGTTCTTTGTGCGCGACCACAATCGCTCTCCACGTGGCACATGGCATCATGACACATGATCACATCTTTTTATCTAAAAAAAGGAAAATCACTGTGTAAAGTGCTGTTCTTTGTGCTTTGAGAGGTGTTCTTTGTGCGCGACCATAATCGCTCTCCACCTGGCATATGGCACATGGTATCATGACCATATCTTTTCATCTGAAAAAGAAGAAATCACTGTGTAAAGTGATGTTCTTTGTGCGCGACCACAATCGCTCTCCATCTGGCACAGCTCCCCGGTAGATATCCATTCTCTTTTCGAATTTCCAAAATTTCAAAATTTTGAAAAAATTTGACTTTCATTTCTTTTGTTAACAAGTTTCTTCACGAAATTCAAGAGAATTATCCAAGCCTGGCCTATTGTTGGAAATTCTTAGCCTACCAGCTCTTGTAGCCAATTCCTGGTCACAGATTACAGTTAGGAAAAGAATTACCTTCAAGCACTAGCTTGATGCTATTTCGTCAAGTACTGCATCTATATTTTCTTAAAACTCTTGCATCTTCGATCTCATCATCATCAAGAGCTAAATACTTCGATATTCTCAAGTAAACCCCTAGAGTTAACAAACTTGATCGAATTGTCCATTATTTTCCCCGAGATGACCTTACCCACTCATGGTGTGAGTGAAGTATGCTCATTTTAGAATATCCAATTGAATATCCAATTGAATATCTGTCGGGAGTGTCTGAGAAAGGATAATTCGTGGATAATTATCTCTTCCAAAGATCCGTCCGAAGTTTTCAAAGGGTTTTCTTTGAAAAGAGAACTTCTTTATGGATAATCTCCATCTGTCTTTTATCTAGAAAACAATGGGAATTTCTGGGAAAACACTTGAGTCTCTTTAGTTTCAGTAAAAGAATCGAAAAGTACAATTCTTCTCATTTTCTCTCAGAAAATTAAGAACTAAGCGAACCAGAGCACAAAGTACAAAAAAATCTGTAATCGCCGACCATTTGGCACACAAAAAGTGATCGAAATCGACTGCTCAACTCATAAAATCAAAAACAATTCACAATAAGTTTGTCTTGAAGCCGAAAGTGCTTGCTGTACAGTCTTGGGTCGAGTTTAAGCACCTCGTTGAAGCAGCGGTCGTGGCGCAGTGGATAGTGTGATGGTCTATAAAACCAATCGGCTTCTCCACCTGCTGGGTTCGAATCCCCACTAGCCAAAACTTTTTTTCTTTTTCACAATGATATTTCTGATTTACACAATAATAATAAATTTGAACTAAAAGCTTTGGCTTTACGAGCTATTTCGCAGATTTTCATTACAAATTCGTTTCCAGTTCGATTTTCTATCGAATACGCTAGTGGTTTCGTTTCCAAATCTAGTCAGAATTAAAGTTACTTTACCTATTTTGTCTAAATGATTAGATTCTCAATGAATCTAAAAAAACATTGGCTTAAAATGCAAAGGGAAAGCCTACACCCGGTCTGTGTGGGTTTCTTAAAAACAAACAATTCACCTAACTAACTTGCCCAGTAATCGAAGCAATTCCAATGGTTTCCCCCGTTTTCTTTTCTCAGTAAAAGGCATCAAGTGGAGACAAATTCAAGGAAACATCTTTTTTGATTTTCATTTTCTTTCCCCCGTCACTTATCTCAATTTCGGATCAAACTCAATCGAATCTCCTTTTTCGAAAAAGAAAGAAAACCCAAAGAAAACCCAAAGAAAAGCCCAAGAAAGGTCTTTTTTTTTGGTGAAGAAAAGTTTTTTGGGGGAGAAAAATCGATCATTCTGTGGTGGGGGGAGTGACAGTGAAGAATTTGGTACATGAAGAGTGGATGAAGATTGATTGTGGATAGTTTCCGGTGTGAAATATTTCAACTATGTGCATTTGATGGATTGAGCATGAATACTTTGTTTTTCAGGGTCATCACAAAGGGTCTTGAGTCGATTAAGAGCTAAAGAAAATCGGTACAAGAAGGAAATGATAGCACTGGTGCAGTACTTGGTCCGATAAATCACTGGTACGGTACTTGGTTACGGTACTAGGTGACGGTACTTGGTTACTGGACTTGTCTGCGGTACTTGGTTACTGTACTTGGTTACTGTACCTGGTTACGTACTTGGTTACTGTACTTGGTTACTGTACTTGGTTACTGTACTTGGTTACGGTACCTGGTACGGTACCTGGTTACGGTACTGGTTACTGCACTGGTTACTGTCTTGGTTCTGTCTTGGTTCTGTACCTGGTTACGGTACCTGGTTACGGTACCTGGTTACGGTACTTGGTTACTGCACTTGGTTACTGTACTTGGTTACTGTACTTGGTTACTGTACCTGGTTACGGTACCTGGTTACGGTACTTGGTTACTGCACTTGGTTACTGTACTTGGTTACTCTACTTGGTTACGGTACTGTACTTTCTCAGGAGCATCACGAATCAGTTACATTACTGTATATACTCCTACTAATAAGATATAATTTACAAGAGTACTGAAAGATATAAAAAGTAACGGATTAGATAAAATTAATAGGCAAGGTTACGTTCATTTTTGACAGTATTCCATTTTAAATGTCTACAGGCTTTTCTTCAAGAAAAGCAATGTAAACCTTTCTTGAGAAAGGTCTTTTTTTCAAAAATCTAAATTCCAATTCAAAATCAGATCCAAATTCAGATCTAAAATGAG